TCACGTGTTAGAAGATCGCGAGTTAGCAGACGCTTTGTGAAACTCTGCTTGCTGCCCTTGAAGAAGTCAGGGCTCCATCCTTTTTGCAGGGACCCGAGAGTATGCCCAGCCGACAGCCAGCAGGACACAAGGACCCCGGTCCTACAGCTCCCGGGAGGTGACAGGTTTCACCGCCGCAGGAGGCGTGGGTCCTGGGTGAGGCCTAGAGTAGAAAATGACCCGCTGCCCTCTGGCCTCTCTGCCCAGCCCTCCAGGCGGCCCTGGTCCCCACCCTGCTGATGAAATTCCAAGATCCAGCCAAGTTCTGCGGCAGGAGGGTCCGTGATGGAATGCAGAGGGAGACAATTGGGCCCAGCCCACTGCCCAGCCCCGGTGCCCTGTCTGCCCCAACTCAGCTCCTGACCGCAGTGGGTAGCGGCCGTGCAGCAGGGGGAGGACTCGGCTGGGATCCGGGCCTGCTGGTTGTTGTCCCCGACTGGACTGCTTGCCGGCACGTCACAGTTGCCGGCCGTCACCATCTCTGGAGGCCTCCTGGCCGCCACCACCATGAGTGGGGAAGCACGGTCTCAGGGTCCTGCGGCCCCAGGACCTTGGCTGCAGGAGCTGGTGTGTGTGAGACGTGTCTCTACGTGTCTGCGTGTGCGCTGCTCCTGCCTCGGTCACAGACTGGCAGCTTTCCAGATGGGTCCCAGAGGATGGTCTCAAAGGACAGTTGAAAATGAAGACTCCAGCCATCATTTCTTCTCTGGGTGGAACTGGAGCCTTAGCATGGAGCTACAGCCCCAGCCCTCTTTATTTTTTGAGACAAGGTTTTGCTAAGTTGCCCCAGCTTGGCTGGAACTTGAGATCCTCCTGCCTCAGCCTCCCAGTGTGCTGGAATGACCAAATATATATATATATATATTTTTTTTTTTTTTAATTTAACAAAGGTTAGAAAAGAGAAAATACAAAGTCTCTGCAGCAGCCTCCGGGCTCCTGCTGTTCTTCCTAGAGACCCATGAGTGCCGTTGGCAGTGCTGTCAGGGATAATGGCCTGGTTATCAGGGCGGGTTTTGTAGAGCCCCCAGCGGCGGAAAAGGACCCCCAAGCCAGGCTCCACTTGGAGAATGACGTAGCCGCCCCAGGCACTCTCAGCCCCACGAGACTGCAGAAGCTAGAGCTGCAGCCACTGGAAACAGCTGGTCTCCAACACCCAGGCCGTCACATTTATGCTGTGCCCTTCCGGTCCTTTCCACACTGAATGGCTGCACAGGCAGGCAGGCGTAAATGGTCCACATTTAGATCCTTCTCGGCAAACAACACAGAGAGACTTGTCAAGGGGCGCACAGCTGTGAGGAAATGGAGCCCAGATGGGACCCCCTGTCTTCTAGTAACACCCACCCCACTTGGGTCCCCTCTTAGAGCAGACAGTGATGGAGGAGGGCCCTTAGTGCTGTGGCTTCGTGACACCTGGTGATAAAGGAACCAACTTCCTTTTGACCAGCATAGTCGTGCCCAGAATGTCACATAAGAAGGTGAACAGCAACTTGCCCTTTTTCGCTGCTGCATAATATTCCCCCAAAGATAAATGTCCCAGGTTTTGTGGAATTGTGTTGGAGCAACTTCCTAAACCTGTTTTAGCCAAACTGCTAACTGGCAGGCGTTATAACAGTTTAACGCCCACCAGCAGCCAGGTGTGGTGGTGCAAGCCTGTAATCCCACACTCTGGAAGGCTGAGGCAGGAGGATCCCAGGTTCAAGGCCAGCCTGGGCAACTTAGCAATTGAGGGAGACTGTCTCAAAAATTAATGAATTAAAATGCATACAAGAAGGCTGGGGATTTAGCTCAGTGGTTCCAGCGCCTGCCTCGAAAGCACAAGGACCCAAGTTCAATCCCCGGTACCAAAAAAAGGAAAGAAAGAAAAACGAACACAAGAGAGGCTCCGCATGACCAGTGATCCCCCCGTTCGCTAACTCCCCTCTTATTGTTCCGCCCCAGCTCCGCACCCAAGTCCCACCTGGGTTTCTTCCTTGTGTGTTCTGCGATGTCACTGTACCATCTGCCGGGGGAAGAGGGACGTCAGGCAGAGACACGCGGGGCCAGGGAAGGGCCGGTGGGCAGGGATATTCTAGCCATGCCGAAAAGTCACGCTCACAGCCAGTGCTGGGCTAAGTGCTTCCAAGAAGTGGCCGGGGTAACCCTTAAGCAGGCGTGGATGTGTGACCCCACCCCCAAGGGACACGTTGCCGGCGAAAGCAGAAGTGGCTTGGAGCTGCCAGCTCTCTGGGAGGTGGCGGGCGGCCCCCAAGGGACCTTTCTCTGAGAAGGTCTCCAGCTTCACTTCTCAGAAAGATGGGACCCAGCAGGTGGGTTGCCAGGAGATCCAGAGGGCTCGGGGCCTCACTGCCCTCCTGCTTGCGCGCACACACACTGGCACGTACACGTGTCTCCCCGATCCCGCACACAGCCAGGAAAACAGGGCTTCTGGAATTTTTCTCCTTTTCCTTTAAGGGTGAGGAAGAAAGGAGTAGGAGGGAGCCCCAGGTATAGTGGCTCACGCTGGTCCTCTCAGCATTCTGGGAGGCTGAGGCAGGAGGATCACCAGTTCCAGCCCCAGACCCTGTCTCAAAAAGTAAAAAGGAAGCCAGGCGTGGTGGCGCACGTCTGTCATCCCAGCACTCGGGAGGCTGAGGCAGGAGGATCGCTGTGAGTTGAGACCCGCCTGCCACACGCGCTCAAAAAGTAAAAAGGAAGCCAGGCGTGGTGGCGCACGTCTGTCATCCCAGCACTCGGGAGGCTGAGGCAGGAGGATCGCTGTGAGTTGAGACCAGCCTGGGCTACACAGCAAGTTTCAACTACATAGTGAGACCCTGACTCAGAAAAGTGGGGGCGCTGGGGTATAGGGGTGTAACTCAGTAGTAGAGCACCCCCAGGTTTGATCCCCAGTATCTCCCAAACAGGGGAACGAATCAGAAACAGCTCAAAGAGCCCATGACAAGCCCTTGATGAATGATGAAAAATGAGGGTATTTCTGTAAAGTACAAATACAGGCAGGAAATTCACATCACAGTAGATGTCCAGGATGAGACCCCAGGGCAGCAAACACATGCTAATGACATCCAGAGGAAATGGCAGCTTCTCTTCTGAGGGGAGGACTGGCGGTAGACCCCCGGACCTTTGCATTGAGCGACATTCCCAGCCCATGTTAACTTCAGGACAGGGTCTCGCCAAGTTGCCCTGGCTGGGCTTTAACTTGCGATCCTCCTGCCTCAGCCTCCAGAGTGCTGGGATGACAGGCGTGCGCCCCCATGCCCGGCTGAGGGCTGGCGCTTAATACCTCTGCAGGATTGGGTTCTATGGTCTCAGCACTCAGTACCCTATTTCCCTGCGTCTCCCCAGGCCTACGTCTAAGGCAGAGCGGTTTTGCATCCCAAGGGGTCCCTGGCCATTTTCTAGGGATGCGAGTAGCTGTCTCTACCGCGGGAGCTCCAGGTGGAGGCCAGGGCGGCGCCTGCAGGGCACGTGGGCCCCAGTGTACCCAGCGCTGGGGGAGGGGAACCCGGGGCCACTCCGGTCCCTCTGTCTGCGCTGGGCGCTGAGCCTGAGCCTCTGCCGGACCTGGGGCCTCCTTGTCCTCTCCTGCCGGACAAGGCCCGGGGCTGCCCGGAAAGCACTGGCCCAGGAGCGGGCCGCCTTTCATGCTGCTGGAAAAACCCCGTCAATTTGTGGAACAGCAGATGTTTGTAAAGGAAGAGGGGCCGGAGACCACAGGGACCTCCAGGGCTGACCTCACGGGGCAGTGTCGCCGCAGCCCAGGTGTGCAGCGGGGACCCTGGCCGGAGGCTTCTGTGGCTCTCAGGTCTCTCTGTCCAAAACCAGGAGGCCGGGGCTCACCTGGCACAGCCTGGCTGCCCCCCGCCCCACCCCATACACCTGTGGCCCCCTTTATGGCTTTGCCCCCGGCTGCCCAGTTTCCACCTCTCCCCTTGCCACGGCACGTGGCTGAGTGGCTGACGTAAAAGGAGAAAGCACAGATGCCTGGACAGGGGCAGGCTCAGCTCCGGAGTATTCTGTTTCTCTTCTACGGTAACGCGCTGATCTTGTGGACTCTGACCGCTGGTGAAGGCCCCCCGCATCCTGAAATGGAATGATACAAGTTCTAGGGAAAACTTTGCCTTTCTTTCCCCATCCTGGGAGGAAAAAAAAAAAGAAAAGAAAAGAAAAGCCAATATTCTGAATGGAGCTGTTGTGAAAAATAAGATTGAGGGCCCGGGATTTAGCTCAGTGGTATGGCGCCTGCCTCTCAAGCATAAGATCCTGAGTTCGATTCCCAGTAGCACAAAAAAAAGAATAAGATTGAGGCCGGGTGTGGTGACACACACCTGTGGTCTTAGCACTCAGGAGGCTGAGACAGGAGGGTCATCGAGAATTCCAGGGCATCTTGGGCTACATAGTGAGTCCAGGCCAGCCTGCAGTACTAGGCAAAAGTGAGTAAAAAAAAAAAAAAAAAAAATTGAGCCACCAAAGGGAAAGTGGGAAAGGGAGAAAAGAAAAGATGAGAAAAATGGAAACAAAGTCTTTGTAAATAGGGAAGGTGGAGAGGGTGAAGGGAGGGCAGGGGTGTGGGGAAAAAATGAGAACCAAGACCTGTCATGTAAAGGTACAAGATCCCAATGGTGAATGTGACTATATTGTTGGCTTTAAATGTACCAATAAACTTAATGGGAGAAAAAAAATTGAGCCAGGTGTAATGGCACACACCTGTAATCCCAGTACTCGGGAGGCTGAGGCAGGAGGATCGCTGTGAGCTTGAGACCAGCCTGGGCTACACAGTGAGTTCCAGGTCAGTCTCAACTACATAGTGAGACCCTGTCTCAAAAAACTAAAAAAAATAAATAAAAATAGAATAAAGTTGATCCTCTCCCAACCCCCACATGTTGGAGGGCAGCTGGAGCTAGGTCTCTACCCCGGTGATAATATTGATTTAACTCCATTTTTCTTTTTCTCTTTTTTTACAACAGGACACAAAGCACTACTTCCTGGGAAAAACAAATAAAGGTATGTTTCATTTTTATTTTCTTCCATGAGCTTGCCTTCCTTTGTTTTGTAGAAAAATGGGGCAAAAAAAATAAATACATCACAGTATTTTTATTTTCTGGTGCTGGGGTTGGAAGCCAAGGGCCTCACATGTGCCAGGTAAGAGTTCACCATGGAGACGTAGCCCCAGCCCAAGCCATGGTGTTTCACATGCTCATGACACCTGGGCAGGTTGTACCCCCCGAACGAGCTCTGGGCTCCCAGAGTTGGAACGCCACCCTGTGTACCAGCTGGAGTACCACCACTTTTGGGGGGGACCTCTGTCCCCTTCTGTCATGAACATAATACTCTCCACCTGGCAAGAATGTTGCAAAGATGAAACCAGGCTATAAAATTTTTTTAAATGTTGAACCAGCGTGGTGGCCCACGCCTGTAATCGTAGCACTCAGGAGGCTGAGGCAGGAGGATCTCCAGGAGTTCCAGGCCAGCCTAGGTTCACAGTGAGTTCAACGCCAGCCTGGACCACGTAGCGGGACCTTGTCTCAAAAAAACCAAGGCGGGTGGGGCAAGCACACTGCCCAACACCTGGCATCTAAGCCTGTAATTTAGTCATTTGTGTATTTCTAGGAATTTACTATCTATTTCATGTCAGCTGCTGAGTTTGGAATTGTTTGGTGCAGTTATTCATAGCATTCTTTTATAACCCTTTTGATTTACGTAGTTGATATAATGCTTCCTTCTCATCTCTGGCTTTAGGTTCTCATAACGTATCTTTCGGGGTTATTTTTTAATCAGCCTAGCTAGAGATTATGAACCTTTTCAAAGAACCCACTTTTGGTTTCTTGGACTCTTGTTTTCTATTTCCTCTTATCTCTGTTCGCATCTTTGCCGTTTTCCTTCCCTTCGGGCGTCTGAGTTTCGGTGGCCTCCCTGCCCTGGTTTCCCGCAGGGTCCGGTTAGGTCTGGTTTTGAGATCTTCCCTTTCTCCCCAGAGAGACCCGGCCATTTCGTGTCACTTCCTGGACTCAGAGCAGTCCCTAACTTCCCTTGGGATTTCATAGTTGTCTAAGTGCTGTGTAATCCCTACGTGTCTCCCGATGAGTTCAGGGAGGAAAGAGGAATCAAGGGGGCTTCTCGCCGGGGGGGGGGGTGGCGCACACCTGTCATTTTCAAAGCACTCTGGGAGGCCGAGGCAGGAGGATTGCAAGTTTGAACCCAGCCGGGACACTCTATCAACTTAGCAAGTCCCTGTCTCAAAAATTAAAAAATAAAAAGGGCTGGGGATGGAGTTCAGTGAGAAGGCCCTGGGTTCAGTCCCCAGTATCACAAACAGAAAAAGAGTAAGCTTCTGTCCGGTCCCAGGTTACCCGCTTCCTGCAGGGCTGGCCGGCAGCAGGTTGTGGGGTGGGAAGCATCCTTGGCCGGACTCACTTCCTCACATCGTGGTCTCTCCGAACACCTGCGCCTGTGTGTGGTAGGACCGCAGGGGACACCGTGAGCTCCAAGGACCTGCAGCCCGACCAGCAGCGGCTGCATGATCTGGGGCTGGACATCGGGCCTGGAGGGGCCGATACCGGAAGCTCCCACCCCCCCTGGTAGCCTTCCTGAGGTTCCCGGAACGAAACTACAAATTAGGGGAGTGCTCAAAACCATGGGCAAGAGCTGGGTGTGGACGCCCACACCTGTCATCCCAGCAGGGGAGCATCGCCGGGAGTTCAAGGCCAGCCTGGGCCACATAGTGAGACCCTGTCTCAAAAAATAAATACCTGGAATCCCAGCACTGGGGGGTGTGGGCGGCTGAGGCAGGAGGATCTCTGGGAGTTCCAGACCAGCCTGGGCTACACAGTGAGTTCCAGGTCAGTCTCAACTACATAGTGAGACCCTGTCTCAGAAAACCAAAAAAACAACAACAAAGAAATCCCGGCCCTATTAGAGTCTATCATTAACTTTTTAAATAACTTGTAATTTTGTTCTGCGTGGCTATTTTGCATTAATGTAGGTTTTTTTTTTTCACTGAGTTTACTGTTCCTTTTTAAGTATACAGTAGCTACATTTCTCACTGTGGCGTTTTTGTCTTTTGTTAGCCAAGGCTTCACATTGATCTACATCCTCCAGCCCTTTATACTTATTTTGACATTTTGAGACAGGCGCTACTTAAATTGCCCAGGTTGGGCTCCTCCTGCCTCAGCTTCCCAGAGTGCTGGGATCGCAGGGTTGCTCCAGAACTTTTTGTACAAAATAGGCTTCATAGATGACCTGGCCCAGAACCATCTGGGGTTTTGCTTCTGAGGCCCAAGCGCGGGGCAGCTCCTCCCCTCCCCCGCCCGCCCCGCCCCTCACGGACGGTTACCATGGTGACAGAGACAGGAAGGATTTAAGGCTGCCCTGCGTCCTGGCCTTTCTTCCCCTGAATGAAGAGTATTGACCAGAGCTGCTTGCCTGGGGCCCCCGAGGCCCCAACATGGCCCTCCAGGGTCTCCTGTGTTGTCACCCGCCCATGCCTGGGCTCCAGCTGCAGGCCACGTGGCCGCCTGCCGGCGGCCAGGCCCCCACTGTCACCCCTGCCCGTGGTGATCGGTGATGACTCAGCCAGCTGTAACCGGCTGTGGCCGAGCCCCACGGGACACTGCCCGCCTCCCCTCTGGATCCCCCCACTTCCTCTGCCCCCGACCCGACCGGGCACCTCAGCAAATGGTCATCGGGTTCATCCTGTGGCCTAGGCCCTGCTACTCTGCCTGAATTCGTTGTCTGAGGAGCCCCAGGGGGGGCAGATTTCACTGTCCCCATCTTACAGGTGGGGAAACTGAGGTTCTGCCACGAACCCGTAAGGCAGGGCTGGGGCTGGGTTCGCGTCCTAGGCTGTTTCCTCACAGACTATCTCATACCCTGGGCTACTCCAGCCAGCTGCCTTCTGGCCAAGGCCCTCCGGGTCCCTTTCCCAGGCTGGGGGACATCACAGCGGCTGGGGGCGGGGTGAGAAGGTGAGGGGCAGCGCGGTTTAGAAAGTGAAGAGGGCCCTGTGCATGGCGCTCATGGCCAGGACTTACAAGAACCCAAAGCAGGGAGAACAAAGGTTGTCCCACACCGCGGACTATTACACAGCCTTAAAGAGGAAGGAGATTCAGGCTGTGCCCGGCGGAGCATGTCTGGCATCCCTGCTACTCAGAAAGCGCTGAGACCGGAGGGTCACGAGTTCGAGGCCAGCCTGGGCAACCTAGCAATTTAGTGAAAAATAGAAAGGGCTGAGAGTGTAGCTCTGTGCAAAGGCCCTGGGCTCCGTCCCCAGTACAAAGAAAAGAAAGCAGGAAAGGAGGGAAGGGAGAAAGGGAGGTGCGGAGAAAATCCACTTCTCCCACCACACGGGCGGGCGCCACGGCTGAACCCAGAGGCCCTCGCCGGTCCCTGACCCCGGCCCCGTGGCACTGTGTGCTCCATGTGCCGATTGCTCCCCGAAGCCCAGGGGGCCCGAGACACCCAGAGTCCCTGGCCCCGGGGGCCTCCATCCAGCCAGTGAAGGTCGCAGAGCCGGGACAGAGGCCAAGGAGCAGCTCCCGGGGAGCGCCCCGAAGCCCCTCAAGGACCAGAGACACCGTGGTGCGTGCGTCCATGCGTGTGCCCTCCGCAGGCCGCTCAGCCGGGTCTCCCCTTCCTGTAGGAATTTGAGCACTGAGTCCCGAGGCGCCCACACCGCGCCTTCCCTGTGACAGCCACGGGCGACCTCTGCACTTCCTGGGCTGGCCCAGACTTGGCCACATTTCCACATCAGCAAGAAGAGGCGTCATGGAATTTGGGCGGGTGAGAAAAGGGGATGTTGGCGCACGCCAGGCCACTCGCTCTGTCCGGCTCTGAGATTCCACGACAGTCATCCGGGCTCATCTCGGGCAGAGGCCCCAGGGTCCCCGGCCACCAGGGCCCCCTTTGCCAGAAGTTCTCCGGAGAGGAGGCAGAATTTTACAGGTGACTCCGGTGTGACCACGGCAAGGGGCCCTCTTTTTTATTTTTATTTTTTTAAGTGCCGGGGATGGAGCCCAGGGCCTTGCACACACCTGGCAAATAAATACTCACTGTCTTTTATCTTGGGTCTATCGCTCTGATGCTAGTTGCCCAGGCTGGGCTCAAACTTGAGACCCTCCTGCCTCAGCCTCTCAAGCCCAAGCCCACAGCGTGGGGCTGCCAGGTCCGAGGGCCCTGTCTGCAGGCTGCGTGCCCTGGGTAGGCCCTCGCTTCCCAGAGGGGACTGGGAGGATGCACCTCGCTGGGAACAGGCCTCTGAGCACCCTGACGGCTGTCAGCTCCAGGAGAGGCGAGAAGCTCTGTGCCGGGCTGCCTGGTCCCCATAGAGAGGAACCCCTGGAAACAGCACCCTCAGGAGACTCAGCACTGCAGCCCCAGCCAGGCCCTGCTGTCCAGATCCCGAGCTCCTGGGGTGCACTGGATCCACTGGATTCACAGCCACAAAGGGTTCACGCCCCCTGCCACGCCCTAGCCTTGAGGCCTGGGACCACATCACCTCCTGGCGGAAGGGACTCTGCAGTTGGGCTGAGTGACAGACCCTGGCCACCCGGGCCGGCGTTCCCCGGGGTCTTCCTGAGCAGGTGTGCCAGGGCAAGAGGCCAAGAGAGGCTGAAGACTCTGCTGCTACTGCCGCTGGCTCTGCAGATGGAGCACGGGGCTGAGAGCCAAGGGCTGCGGGCGCCTCTAGGAGCTGCGGGAGGGAGCAGGTTCTCCCCGGAGCCTCAGGAGGAGCAGCCCTGGGAGGAGGCGGTGTGGTCACTTTGTGATTTCTGACAGAAGCCACGGTACTACCATGCATGAGGAATTCCCAGGGAGGTGTGCAGAAGCCAAGAAGGGGCTTTAGCACGGCCCAGTGGTGTGAGGGTGGTTGTGACCTAACCAGCAGAATTTCAGAGGGCAGCACACTGAAGGGTCATTGCAGGTTATGTAGGAGTTCGTCGCAGCCCAGGTAGGAAAGCCCAGTAGAGCACTTTTATCTCTTTCCAGCCCTTTATCTCCTGTGGGAG